CGAAATTTGAGTGCTTTAATGTGCTCGAGCACTGTCCCTTGTAGTTTACGCTGCTTCCACACATCTTGCTCTGGATAGACCAGTTCCACCCTACAAAAGCCACTGCGCACATACGGCACATACACCTGTTTCAACAGCGGAAGGGCCTGAAGCGCCTGAAAAATCTCATGCACATCTTCTTCGATTTCCTGACGCTTGGCCTCCTGCCAGCCACCGATGACAATCTGGAGCTCGTCGACCTCCCTTGGTGCAAATCGAGGCGAGGAGGGCGCCTGATTGACTGCACCTCGGGGAGTAGACACGGGGCTGGGTCCCCGAGTAGGGGGGGCACTACGGAGAGTTTGCACTTCTCGTTCGAGGTCCTGGAATTCTCGACGCATCTGTTGTAACGCAGCTTCTTGCTCATCTGCTCTTCTGGTGAGGGACTCCTGTCCAACACTGAGATTACGAACCCCGTCCTGGATGACCCTAAGCTCGTGAGTGGTTGTGGACATGTCCTTGGCCATCTGCCGCTGGGCTCAAGCAATATCCTTAAGATCGGCACGCAGCCCTTCTAGCCAGGAAGGCTCAGGCTCCAACTGAAAGAACTCAGGCCCCTTAGTTGGGGGGGGATCAGCGGCAGGTACTGGCGGAGGTTCTGAGGTTAGAGGCCCTCCCGGGGTGCCGTGGAACAGCGGGGGGTGGTGACCTGAGCTGGCAGCAGGCAGTCCCCCGAAGACCGGGGCAGGGGGCATTTTAGTCGTGGCAGAGAGCTTGGCTTTCTTTTCAGGGCTTGCGCCTTCTTTGGATCTCAAATCATCGACACTTAGATCTTGATGAGCCTGGGCGGTAGCAGCAGCAAGGGCCTCAGCAGCAGCGGCAGCAGAAGCAAGGTCCGTGGGGTCCGGAACATGAGCACGGAGGGGGAACCTGTTCGCTTCAAAGTTACCTCTAGCAGTCCTTTCCCTAGTTCTCCCTCTACGACTTTCGTCACTGCGGGCGTCAAGAGCTGTGTCCTGCAACACCGGGTTGGGCAAGGGTGCATCAAGCATCGCAGTCTCCCCGACATGCTCCCCCAAATCTCCCCCCCCCCTCTTCTCTGGGACCGTTCGGAGAGGCCACCCCAAAGGGAATCGTGCTCTCATCCGTCACAACTGGAGGAAGCGCCCACGAGAGATAGAGCCAAGACCGACAAGGTCAGGCACCAGTCGACGACGAGACCAAGACGGGTTTCGAGAGTGCAGAAAAGATTTTATGCGTTTAAGTAGGGTTTAGGGTTTCGACTTTCACAGCAGGGTTTAGGGCTAACTATTTTTCTAGGGAAGAGGGTTCAAGTTTTTTGCTCCGCAACTTAGGGCTTAGAGCTAGGGTTTAGGATCTGGACACATTTGAGTTTAGGGTTACCTTTTGTGATGGTTGTAGCCAAGCTATAGCATTGCCTGCTACGGCTACGGCTTTGATCTTGGGTTCCTACAGCTTGATATCAGGATTCTTATGCTATTGTAGGAACCACGCCTGATTGGTAACCCCCTTTTTATACGGGCCTTACCGTACGCGTTTTTGGAATGGGTGCTACTACTGTGGCCGTGCAAAACCTTGCTGAGCTTCGACAAGGCATAATGCTGATGTCCGCTGCTAGGCTGCTAGTAGGCGAGTGCAGGTTCGTTCTTGCCGTTGCTTCCAATCCCCGGAGTCTCGTCATGATCATGACTGCTTCGAAGAGCTCGTACTACGAGTACCCTAGTCGTTCTGGCGGTCACGATCGGAATGACTCGTAACCCCCCCAATTAAAGATAAGCATTGACACCCGCTCGGTTCTTATGTGAGCGGCTGAAGGCTTCGGGGGTCCAATCCGAATCATTCATGAGGACGAATCGAAAGCGGCGATTGTCATGAGACTATCCAGCGAAGCACCCGGTGCTCTTAAGGCATTATCTGTCACATGAGGTCTCACACCGACCATGTAACAAAATACCTACTTCAGCCGCTTGTATCGAACCGTCAGGTTTAAGAGGCTTCTGAAACTAGCGATGGGAGCTGGAGCAGCTGGATGAATGGTCTGCAGGAAAGGTTCCGGCAAGTTCGTCTCGCCAACGAACATGCCTCATCAAGACGGACATGTAAGAGACTACCAGACGCCACATCGGGTTGACTCACATGGAAAGGAAATCAGAAGTCGATTTGATCCAAGATTCCACCTGCGGGTCCTGCCGCCCACTGCCTTGCCCAAGGAGATGTCGCGTCCGTCTTCAGCTCTGCAGTGGGTGGCACGTAGCCCTTCACACTCGCCTTCACGCCTAGCAACACCGCAGGCGAACAGTGCAAAAACCCTAAACCTTAAAACCTCCAAAGAAAGACAAACTCCCCAACTGCCTGGAATGGCACCCACTGCTGCGGCTGCGAGGAGGTTGTACTCCTCGATGCTCTCAGGCTTTGGGCAATTGCACCTCGCTGATTGCGCGAGGAGGGAGGGGGAAAGAGAGAGAGGGAGACAGAGAGACAGGCAGAGAGAGACAGAGAGATGTGGGTTGAACTTGTCAGGCACGGATGTTCCAGTGATTTCTGGACGGAGGGACTAGGGAGCTGAGAGGGCCCCGCCTGCCGCAGACAGGATTTCTTGCGAAGCACACAGCTCTACATTTGGGACAGCTCCAGTCTCCTGGCTGTCCTGGCTCAAAACACCATCGAAGACTGTTGGAAAGAGACAACTAACGCAAGCACGCAGAGGTGTCCTGTGGGTGACTCAAACGGGTCTGTCTGCCCAGCACTTGGCAGGGGCGTCCCATAAGACCCAGCAATCGGTCGCTGCGCACCACAGGTTTTGCAGGAGATGTTTCCTCGAGACTCGAAAGTCAATGAAGCAGCCACCGCTGCCAAGTCCGAAAACTCAAGCACGGAGCTTCATATGAGTAGTTCTCAAAATTAGGGTCCCTTTATGGATCCCCAATACAGTACGGCGCCCTTACAAAAAGGTACCCTAAAAGGGACCCGAATTATTACCTAATTTACAGAAACCTCCCCATATGGCTGCATGTGGCTCGTGGATCCCTTTCGACGAGCGGCGAGCGAAGTTCCCCGCCTTGCAGAATTGGCAGGACCAGTCTCCTGGGTTCCGGCCCCCTGGAGTGCCTTGGGGGATCGCTCCAGGCACTGCCAGGGTCGTCACGTTCGCCATGGGATGGCCAAGGGCAGCTGGAAGTTTCCCGCTCTTCGTAGGCAGGTAGCCTAAACCCGAAACCTTAATCTAAACCCCTAAACCCCTATAACCCTAAACCCCATCTAGCATAGTGTGAAGGTGTGCTGAGTTTTGATGAGAGGTCTGAGGATGCTGAAGGGCTGCCTCCTTTACCTGTGCAGATCCTAGCAATCATGGCATGATGTTACGAAGGCGCCATGTTCCTTTTGTTGCTGCTGGTCTATGCCATCCTCTAAAGTAAAAAAAGTAGACGAGTCAGCTTGAACCTGGTGGCCGAGGGCAAGGGCTACCACCGCAAAACCCAGAAGCACGTGCTTCGGTCCCGTCTCCTGGTTGTCCAGGCTTCGGCTGCAGGCCTCCCGAGACCCTGACGGTGTAAGCGCGAAACCATCAGATGATGGCGGCTCGGGTCCTCAAAGCTCAGTGGACCCGAATTGGTCTGCATCGAAGTCAAACCCTAAACCCTAACTTCAAAAAGGGCCCCGGGCTGAAGGTTGCGATCAGCTCTCCGGTATGGTGCCGCCGCCTCGGCCCAAGTGCTTTTCAGCTCTGCCGCCCTGGTTGAACGGTTTAGGGGGCTTCGGGTCTAGGGTTCTCCCGTCTGAGGCATCTGCAGCTCGTACCTTCCCCAGCCTTGCAGCTACAAAGCTCTCAGCTGCGAGGCGACAGCTCCGAGACTCAGGCGCCCGCCTACGCAACTCAAGCGCCCACCTCGAAGATCCCCCAAGGCCTTTGGCACGGGAATTTTTTGCAAGGCTTTAGGGTTGAGGGGCGCGGCCTCTACTTCTACCGCCCTTCCTTGAGTGGCCCACCATTTTCTGCCAGGTCGGCGCTGACTTCGCCGTTGGCCTCGGCGTGCGGTGGGCCAGGTAGGGGATGCAGTCTTCCGGCTGCAGCTTTGCAGACGAACTTCAGCCGGTCAGGATTCCGAGTCTGAAATCGCTGTCTACAAGGGACCACTGGGTTGCCCGGCCGCGCCCGCAAAAGCATGATTCTTGGAGGGCCCTACAGTTGTCAGGTCTTCGGCATTTGAGCTTCCAAAGGCTTCCAACATGCCGGGCTCAAAACCCAGCACCCTGGCATCAGTACCTCTCAACCACCGAGCTCAACATGTCGCTGGCTGCAGACCCAAGCAGCGGTTGCAAAAACGGAGGGGCACCCTCATCACTAGCACAAGGTGGCGGCCCAAGGCCGCCCCCCGCACCTGGGCTTTCACCACCACTTTGCATTTTCTTCTTGTGCCACTTCCGCCCGTCGTAACCAAGCTTGCCGCCCAGGATGCCAAAAGCCCGCGTTCGACACAGGACGCGCGATCCTGGCCACCGCAACACCAGCATTTGCAGAGACAAGGTCCTCACCATACCTCACCCAGATAGTGAGCACCTCCATCGTGCGCTGGCTCAGAAGCAACTCTCCTGCACCATTGGAAGCCCTACTACTGCCTCCGTTAAGCAGCCACGGTCACCCACGTGCCCATGCCAGCTACATACTGTCTTAAAGATGCGGTTCAGTGGTCGCAGCCTTTGGAAGGCTGCCGGACGAGCGCACACCTGACCGATCGAGCCATGGGAATCGCCAAATCGCAAGTTCGGGAGCTGAATTAAGGCCACAGTCTCGAAAACTAGAGAACGACACGGTGCCAGTTGGACAGCAGCAGGAGAGAAAGCACCCTTGCTTCGTGCGCACCTGAGCTTCTGGTCTTCCATCTCTTCCTGCGCCATGTTGCACCTGCCAGGCACTCTTAGTCTAATAGTTCGTCGCTCATTAGACCGCGCAATCCGTCAAGTCTTCCCACATCTCCCGCCTTTCTTCCGGAAGTGAGGGCCCGGACAAGCCAAGCGGCGAGCCAAAACGGCTGAGAACATCAAAAAGCGCATCCTGGACCAGGATTGTGTGGAAGGCCTCTGCTCAGAGGTCCCCCCCCCCCCGCCCCGCGAGCGCGCACGCACTCCACTCCCTTTCTCAATCGTCGCGCGACGATGAAGCGCGTGGCAGGGGGTTCGAACACTCAGGTATGCGCTGTGCCTTATCTAGCAGAGAACCTTGCTCTGCCCTCTCCACCCTGCCATGCAGCTGAAAATTCATATGCGAATGCCTCGTGAAACGTGCCACTGGACCTGTTGGCCTTGGAAGTTTGGAGCCCGGGGAAGAAAAACAGGACCTTCAAGGATACAGTGTTGGCCGAGGCCTCTTAGAAGGTCCGCGTGGCTTCGAGGAGATCAAACTGTCCTGAAGTTAGAGGCAGGCCGAGGACCGGCCTTAAAAAGATACCGCGAGCATCTGCAGCAAGAATCGATCAAGCACTTCCGGATTACAACTGGGGAGTTATGAGTGCTTGCTGCAGAAATGCCGATGAACAAGGTTCAAGGCCTACATCTTGGGGCCGAACTGAAAGCGAGATAGTGCTGAACGCACCGTACAGTGTCTCGTCAAGACTTCTCTTCAAGCATTCTCCAGCAAGACAGCCTCCTGGTTTCTCAGCTTGTCCTCCTCAGAACTAGCCGTTTGAGCCAGAGTGCCGCACCTGTTAAGCTGCCTGCTTCCTTTGTGCGTGCTAAGCATCGAAGTTGGATCCCAGCACTTCGCCACCACCGAAAGCGATGGGCGTCTTCCCCTTGACGCCCATTGGATCCTTCGGCACCTCGGGGGTCGAGCAGCTGGCTTTTGGTACCAGCAGGCGCCACAAGGAGTCAAGTTCCGGGGAAGGCGCGAACTCGTCCTTCTTCGCCAAGATGGATTCGTCAATCGCCTTCAGGCCCTGCAGGGACAGTCTGTTGTCGGGCGGCACGTCAAAGGTTCACTACGAGTCCGTCTACCGAGGGCTTATCCACCCAAGTGTTTCCTGTTGCATGGGGGCAAAGTAAGCAACAGCGAGAGGGACTCTTAGAGATTTCATCACTCCTTCGTGGGCTCGCCAGCTGATCTGCAAGCGACCTTACGGCAAACTTCGGGTGGAGAGCCCCGGTGCAGTCACGACATTCGCCGAGAACACACCGCTCCGGTCTTAGTCCCAGTGTGCCGCTGAGAAGCAACCTCCGCAGCAAGCTTCCCGCCGAGAACAGCACCCTCCATGCTGCCCAAGAACTTCCTCATAGATAGGATTAACGATTAGCAATGGGGACCAGAGCTGGCCAAAACGAAGACGTAGACAGGAGGAAGATACATTCCAGATGATGTCATGTGACTGGCTGGTCCAATCACCGGCGAGGGTGAAGTTCTTGATTGGTGTCTCCTGAGCAGTCTCAGCTAGCCAACACACTTCCATTTCTACAGACTACATGTTCCTGCGTGCTTGTGGCCTGATCCTATTCCACGTGAAACCGGGAGTCCTGGGACGGGCGGAACTTGTTGCGACCCGGAATGGCAGCGTAGACGCTTCGAGGCACCTGAGGACGGAGCATGGCACAACAAGTTCACCAAACCAGCACCGAGCCTTCACCACAGCATGCTTGATGAGCTTTGCACCGCCTGTGCAACACTTGGGGCGGGCTCTGTTCATAAGGCCGGAGAACTTCAACAGTTGGCGGGACCGACCACGCAAACTAAACGTTGGCCAAAGCCGAAGCACCGGACAGATCTGCAATCGCCGTGGCTTTAGGTGATTTTGCTGTCGCATGACCACGTGTGCCATGGGGTTGTTCTGTGACACCTCTGCGTTACACTGTGCCACCAGTAGGGCCTGGGCCTAGGCAGCCTGGAGGCCTGCCGTCTATACACAGACGAGCGCGCATGTGATGTCGCAAGCCCTATATGTTCACTTGGCGAGCTTGATGTACACTCATGTGTATAAAACATGCACGCGAGCAAAGCGGTCCGACCGGCAACTACACACCATTCAACGTGCCAGCAGTGCGACCTCTCTACATGCAGAACAGAACGCGAAAACATACCTGTTGCATCACTCAAGTGGGACAGCGCGCCATCGGGCAGATGCGGACCGATCTCGGTGGGGAAAAGGCGCTCCAATTCCTGCAGCTCAGACATCCAGATATGTGTGTGTGTGTGTGTGCGTGTGTGTGCGTGTCTGCGTGTGTATGTATATGCATGTATATATATATATATACATACATATGTGTGTGTGTGTGTCTGTCTGTCTGTCTGTATACGTATACATGCATGTCTACATATATTTTTGGTTCCTGCATGGCAGCATAGATAGGTAGATGGATAAATGGATAGATAGATAGATAGATAGATAGATGGATGGATGGATAGATAAATAGAGGCACACACGTATATTTACATAGTCTATGCCTATACAGACACAAACACAATAAATGTGCGTGCATGACTTTCATGTCCATCTGCATGTGTATGTATGTATGTAT